GGTTCCAGGGAAACCAAAAGAATCGGCCACCCTATGAATGAAGCTACCACTGAGGGGCCACATCCCAGTCAAACTGCCTCTCACTCTACCTTCGGAGGTAGACGCCTGCTTCTCCTCTCAGCCAAATGAGGCCTTGACGATGCTGAGATATGCTCTAAGAACTGCATTTTACAAGCTTCAGGAGAGACAAAACAGGCTACATGTGACAAATATCACCAGCGTACTGCTGAACAGGACCATCTGCAGTTAACTATAACCAGGGAAACTATAAAAGACATTTTAGACCAGGGATCAGCAAACCTTTTCTGTAAAGAATTGGGTAGTAACGGCTTAAAGCTTTGCAAGCTATATAGTCTGCGTTGTAATGACCCAACTCTGCCACCACGGCATGAAACGCCACAAACAACATATAAGCAAATAGGTGAGTTTGTGTTCCAATAGAATTTTACTTAAAAAGCAGATGGCGATTAAAAAATATGACCCAACTACATGCTACTTACAAAATAACCACTTTAAGTTCAAAGACACAAACAGGTTGAAAGTGAAAGGATAAAAAAAGCGACCTCAGCGGGGGCCGTGGCTCACCCTGTGATCCTAGCACTTTGGGAGCCCAAGGCGGGTGGGTCACGAGGTCAGAGTTTGAGACAAGCCTGGCAAGCATGGTGAAACCCCGTCTCTACTAAAAATACAAAAATTAGCTGGGCGTGGTGGCGGCACCTGTAATCTCAGCTACTCAGGAAGCTGAGGCAGGAGAATTGCTTGAACCCAGGAGGCGGAGGTTGCAGTGAGCCAAGACCGTGCCACTGCACTCCAGCCTGGGCAACAGAGCAAGACTCCGTCTCAAAAAAAAAAAAAAAAAAAAAAAAAAAAAAAAAAAAAAAAAAAAAAAAAAAAAAAAAAAAAAAAAAAAAAAAAAAAAAAAAAGAGAGAGATCTCATGTAAATAGTAACCAAAAGATAGCTGGGTGGCTATATTAATGTCATACAAAATAGACTTTAAGATAAAAACTGTAACAAGAGACAGAGAAGGACATTATATTCTGATTAACAATTATTAACAATGTACACACCGAACAACAGAACATCAAAATATGATACAAACAACACCATTTAAGAGAGGAATAGACCGTTCCACAATACTAGTAAAAGACTTTAATACCTTACTTTCGATAATGGGTAGAACAACTGGAGATCAGTTAGGACACAGAAGACGGAAACCATTAGACCTAATGACACATACAGAACATGCCACCCAACAAGAGCAGAATATAGTCACCAATTCTTCTCAAGTACACGTGGAACATTCCCTAGGACAGATTGTATGGCCACAAAACAAGTCTCAATAAAGTTTTAAAATACTGAAATCATACAAAATATCTTTTTCAATCACAATAAAACAAAGCTAGAAATCGAGAAGTGAAAGAAAACTGGAAAATTCACAAATATGTGGAAATTAAACACCATACTCCTAAACAAGCAATGTGTCAAAAAAAGAAATCAGGCTAGGCATGGTGGCTCAAGCCTGTAATCCCTTTACTTTGAGAGGTCAAGGCAGGAGGATCACTTGAAGTCAGGAGTTTGAGACCAGCCTGGACAACATAGTGAGACCCCCATCTCTATAAAAAAAAAAAAGAAGAAAAAAATAGCCAGGTGTGGTGGTATGCCCTGTAGTTCCTGCTACTCAGGAAACTGAGGTCAGAGGATGACTGGAAACCAGGAGGTTGAGGCTGCAGTGAGCTATGATCAAGCCAGGACACTCAGCCTGGGCCACAGAATGACAGCCTATCTCTTAAAAAAAAGAAGAAAAGAAAAGAAATCATAAGGAAAATTAGAAAATGCTTTAAGACAAATGAGAACAAAAATACAGCATATGGAGCAAAGGTAAGGGAAATGCATAGCTGTTAACACTTACTTTTAAAAAGGAGAACAATCTCAAATCAATAACCTAATTATGCATCTTACTCAACAAGAGACAGCCAGGATCAGTGGCTCATGCCTGTAATCCCAGCACTTTGGGAGGCCAAGGTGGGCAGATCACCTGAGGTCAGGAGTTTGAGACCAGCCTGACCAACATGGAGAAACCTCATCTCTACTAAAAACAAAATTAGCTGGATGTGCTGGTACATGCCTGTCATCCCAGCTACTCAGGAAGCTGAGGCAGGAGAATCACTTGAACCCAGAAGGTGAAGGCTGCAGTGAGCCAAGATTGTACCATCCCACTCCAGCCTGGGCAACAGGAGCAAAACTCTGTCTCCAAAAAAAAGAAAAAGAAAAGAAAAGAAGAAATTAGAGAAAGAAGTGGGAAGGAAGGGAGGGAGAGAGGGAGGGAGAGGGGGAGGGAGAG